CCCCCAAAGTTGTTGGTGTATAATTCAAGTTATACATAGTATATAATCTACATCTAAAATAAATTAAATAAATTACATTACTGATTATTCAGTGTTTATCAAAAAATAATATATATATATATTTTTTAAATTTCACGTACCCCCTAAGATGTCTTCGCGTACCCCCGGGGGTACGCGTATCCCAGGTTGAATACCACTGTTTTATGGAACTCGAAGAATCATTACTATGTCCTAAACAGCCAGCCACCTTCCCCAACCTTATTTTCCTACGACATACTTTAATATTATCCTCTCTCACCTCTCTACGACTTCTGACTGTCTCCTCCCTAAATTACGAACCAAAATTCTGTTCTAATTTTTCATTTCCCCATCTCATCTTCCTTCACTTGTTCATCTTAATAATATTTGGCGAAAAACAGCCCAAATATTCTCCTCACGCGCTCTTCTGGCGAAAGTGAGAGAAAGTTTCACACCTACAGAAAACAAGTCGGGTCTTAAGCTGAACACTTTCTCGTAGCCACTTACAGACTGCATTAAAAACACGTATTTTCTGATACGAGGTGAACATTTTTCATCGCGAGCCAAACAAAACATATTTGCGGGCCGGGGGTTGATAACACTTTCTATAGCATATAATGGTTGTTATATTATTATATTAGGGGCATTAAGTGAGCCCTCCGGCATCCCATGGCACAATTTTCACGATATGGATTATCAATACATCAGCATAGAAGTCTAAATTAGTTTTCATCATAAGAGAAACTTCGGTCGGCGGGGGGGTGGGTGTATAGAGTTGGTTAAGAAAGGGTCGGGGGGTTGGGGGGGATGAGCCCTGTGGCTGCGATCTTGTGCTGGAAGTTTGTTGTAAGACCCCGTCTATCTCTCTCAACATTAAACTTCGTCCGAGTTTCCGAAGGAGCGTAAACAGACAGACAACGCAACATTGTACATACTCACTGCATGTTCATGGTTCTGAACGGCTTGAACAGAACAGTCTGAGTGTTTGAAACAGACGAAGTCACCTGGTTCTTCTGAACAAGCTAAAGTACGCGCGGCTATTATTTACGACCGGGATTCTCACCCCCTTTTTCTCTGGCGTACCACTAATTCTAATTTCCCACGTTAAATGTACCACTAACCAAATAAATCCATGGAAAATTTATTTATCTTAATATTATCTTTTGATTGTCTTACTTAGTTCGCGTATCACCAGTGGTACGCGTACCATACGTTGAGAAACGCTGATTTAGGACATTCGTCTTAACCTAACCTTTCACGTTCTGTGTAGACTATATTTATATTTTTTTTCTTATTTCCTTATATATTTTTCTCCATTCACTACTCATCACTGGACCTCTTATGAGCTACCTGAATCCAATATACACATCGACACCATTTAAAAATTCAACAGATCTTCCAATCGATCTATTTCTACACATAAACGCCATTTAAAAGTTCAACAGATCTTCCAATCGATCTATTTCTTTCATTCTTATAAGGAATGAGTGTGTAATAAAATTTTGTATTTCACCAAATTGTACAGTCATACCAACCTACGCCTCAGATAATTCCCCAAAGTCCCCTCTTCAACATTCCTTGAAGTTCGTGCGCAGTTTCCCAGCTCTCGGAGCCTCAGAGATTCGTTTTCCACCCACTCCATCTTGACAAACACAAACTTTCGCCAGAATCCAGCGAATGGTTCAAACATATCAACTTCGCTGTCTCTTTGATTCTATTAGCATACTCCACCTCCCTCCCGACACGCAATTTTCAAATACGTATTTAAACTTTGCCAGATATAATCTAATTGTAGTCGCATTGCAACTGCTGGAGACAGCCATAAAACTACACCAACTCACCTCTTAAGACTTGACACAACATATCTGCGGGCTGGAGCCTCATCACAATACGTGGGGAATAGAAGATATAAAGAATACGATGAAAGCAAGACGCCTTTTACACACCCATCTCAAAACTGTACAAAAGTATTAAAATTCTTGGGGGAAGGTTTTCCGTAGTGAAAAATCACAAACCTGGCATCACGGTGGGTGACGTCATCAAGAAATTGATACACGCTGCGCCGGTCCCGTGACCGAACAGCGTCACGTTACCAGGGTCACCGCCGAAGAGCGCCACATTCTGTTGTATCCAATGCAGTGCTGCTATCTGGTCCATCAACCCGTAGTTAGCAACTCGGGCCTTCAAATGTGGCGCCAAGTTGGCGTTCAGGAAACCTAGCGACATACAAATGACAATTATTTTTAAATGCAGTACTTATTTACCTGTAAGGTACTTTGTTATCACAAGCTGTGAAACAGTGGTCGGCCATGTCCCATAGGACAGTGGTATTCAACCTGGGGTAAGCGTACCCCCGGGGGTACGCGAAGAAATCTTAGGGAGGACGTGAAATTTTTTTAAAAAAAACACTGAATAATCAGTAATGTAATTTATTTAATTTATTTTAGATGTAGATTATATACTATGTATAACTTGAATTATACACCAACAACTTTGGGGGTAAAATTTGAAAAGAAATTATATCTGGGGGTACGCGAAGACATCTTAGGGGGTACGTGAAATTAAAAAAAAATATATTATTTTATGATAAACACTGAATAATCAGTAACGTAATTTATTTAATTTATTTTAGATGTGGATTATATACTATGTATAACTTGAATTATACACCAACGACTTTGGGGGTACAAATTTGAAAAGAAATTCTATCTGGGGGTACGCGAACAAAAAAGGTTGAATACCACTGATGTAGTGTATAGGTCATACTTAGTCTATGGCTAAACTTACAACGTTTCCAATTTCCTTGTACAGAATCTTCGATTCACATAAACTCTGCATCAGTAACTCTAGAGTTATGATGATGTAAGGACAGATACTTGTCCCACAAAGGCATACGAACACCATTTTCAGTTCACTTCCGAATCCATTTCCTTCAAATGAACGGATTTAAGTCTCATCATGGGCTGACGCCATGGTCATATACCCTAACCCGCCACTGAACTACGTGTCCAACATCTTTTCTAACCCGCACTCCCCTTCAAACAACTACATTTCCCACTCTTAAACTCAACGTGTCCCGGAAATTGCTGTAACTTTTCGTCCTACTGTGGCAGAACACTCGACTGCCTTACTCCGTCATTGCGAACACGCACACTCTCTCACACGTGAACTTTTAAGTGCCTGAATCCCCCCCCCCTCCAAACCACATTCTTCGCACTTCTGTATCTGCTGAGTTTACGCTCAAGAATACATTTATCGCTGAATAAACAGAAAACTTGAAATTCATCACTGAATATTCTAAAAGATTTTACAACTTTCATATCTACGATTAACTATTTGAAGCCAGAGAGAGAAAGAGAGATGTAGATAATATTTAAAGATCCAGTCCGTACCGCGAAGAAAACACCACACTTCACCATTACAAAGATCGACTGGTTAACGCTGTTTAAGGAAATAATCGCTGTTTACATTGAGAATCATAGTTCGTCTGATTAATATTAAAGAATTCAGTCCGTACCGCGAAGAAAACACCGCACTTCACCATTACAAAGATCGACTGGTTAACGCTGTTTAAGGAAATAATCGCTGTTTACAGTGAGAAGCATACGTAACACATAACCTAAAAAAACTGACGGCAGAATTATAGGATGATATTGAATACACAAAACGCAGTCTGAAAATTTAGTGTGCAGTGTACCGATCTTGAAGAGCTGGCATCCTCTGATACTCTGAGGTCAATAAGTCAGGGTCGTAAGTCTCAACCTATGGGCACAGCGGGGTAAGGAACACGAAAAGAAGCAGGACTTCTCGAAGACTGAAGAACGCCTATACTGCTAAGACAGCCGAGGTCTGAAAATGACATTAGTTTTTGAAATATGGTCACAGTTTAGAAGACAAAATGGTCGTAAGACAAGACGCCTTCTCTTATAATGGTCGGTTACAGCAGATAAAGGTTCAATTTCTCCTCAGCATTATTCGATAGGAAGTTGAAGTTGTACACCTCACACCATCGAAACTATTCTTAACATACCACTCACCAGAATTTTCCTTTATTATCCCTATCTAATTCTCTATTTTCGCCATACGATCTTGGCGGAAAATTGCAGAAATGACGCATGGCTTTTGGATAAAGGCAAAGAGTGAAGCTTACCGCTGTTGAGGTTAAGAATAATTGCAGATTTACTTCTACTGCACAGTAGGTCCTCATAAGCGCGCTGCACCTTTGTCAAAAATGCCAACGTAAATACCACTTTGTTCCTTCTGTGGTGTGTACCAATCCAAAATTTTAAACGCTACTGCTGTAAACGGATCTTGTTCAAGTCTTCCTTTCTTGAAGGAACACGGACAAGTTCACTGCATAGATATCTCGGTATTTCATCACAATATAACTGTAATAATTGCCTATGTGCCAACACTCACAACTGTGACAAACCTGGCTAATATTTACCTGTGGCTAAAGACTTACGAGACACCCTGTATAAACATATTTTATTATAAGAGCGAGATTTGAGAACCGTAGCAAATTTTACGAGACGTTAGTCTATAGCAGTGGTATACAAACTGGGGTACGCGTACCCTCAGGGGTACGCGAAGATATCTTAGGGGGTACGTGAAATTTTAAAAAAAAGATATATATTATTTTATGATAAACACTGAATACTCAGTAATGTAATGTATTTAATTTATTTTAGATGTAGATTATATACTAAGTATAACTTAATTATATACCAACAACTTTGGGGGTACAAAGTTGAAGAGATTTTATATCTGGGGGTACGTGAACAAAAAAGGTTGAATACCACTGGCCTATAGGTTGCGAAAGTTTAGAAATCGTCTGTAGTGGTACAGCTGAGCACTTCATTCATCAAATGTAATCGCAGAATAGACGGAACAGACGAAGGAATTATTAAACAACACAGCAGTTTATAATAAATGAAATAAATATGACCCCCCCCCAAACAAATGATTTTAAGAAACATTTTAGAAAAGGTGTTTGGAACACTGTGAAAACAATAGAAACCGCTCTACGTCCGCTGATATTCGCGTAAAAATGCGTAAAAGAGCGGGAATAGAATTTCAGATAGGAAGATGACTTTAGGCCTATTTAGCAAATGCGTCACGCCCGAATTATATGAGGTGGTAACATGGAATCCAACTCCTTGCCAACTGCTCCGCTCTGACAGCCTAAAAATCCACCCTGAACTCAGACGATAAGCCTACACGAGTTTCCACTTCAGTCTCAATATCTCCCAGCTCATATGAGTTCAAGTGACGCCAAATGAGTGAAATGAATTTTGTTATAAGTGTCGAAATACAGTGAAATATTTGCGTTCTAGCGATGCTGTTAAGTTAGACGACTCTAGAAGGGGGAACAGCACTGTGTTTAAACAAAATCCATTTTAAAAGTTTTTTTATGCGTGGCACTAGTAGGACAAGTAACGATTTTGAATTCCAATGACAATCATTGGGCAAGACGAGAATTGTGAGCAAATTTGGGCTAACCATCAACACTTTAAGACCGAGTGGCAACTAGTAGCAGCTATAAGCCAACGGTGTAAATTATTTTGTACAAATCGGTACCCTTAATTAACTGGGATGTAGAATTTTTTATTCGCAGGACAAATTCAAAACTTTGGTTTTCAACTATCTGTCCTTCTAGGACGATGGCGGAGTCAGCAGTTGGCGACAGATCGTGAACGCACATCTTTTCTCCGGCTGATATCACATACCTAGTGCTTTTGATATCAATGCAAATTGAACAAGAGACCGGTTTAGTGTCTCACTGCTGCAAACTGTTGTCCCAGTTCACTAGGAGCCGAGAAACAATTTCCACGGAATTTCCCAAAAGGTTCTGTCTCGACATTTTCTGACCTGCGACCTGGATTCTGTCTCGAAACACGATTTCTGCCCCGAATTTAGTCTGATGCTAAGATCGGGGAGCACTTCCCTCTTTACACTTCTGATCCTTCCGTTGCCAGACTTCCGTGGACACTTTTCCTGTTCCATTATCGTCCTCACGTCGATAAAACCCTGATGATGGGGACAGAGTTGGTTCCCGAAACGTCGGTTTACTACGGTAACCAGTTGACACGGCTGATTGCCCGAGACGATTTTATTGAATACACAAACTTTACTCAAATGATCAAAATGTACTAATAGTTATCCCTTCGAAGCCCACTACCTGTCTTAATACGAAACAACTTCATTTTTTTCATGTGATTCACAGTGATGATTTCCTTAACCGTTTAAAACTCAGTGGTAACTATAATGTATCACCTGCTTTGAGAAACAATAGTCCCACATTTTGCCTGCAGAGGGTTTCGTATGATACACAGAATAAACAGGGATTATTTCGAAGATTTCTGTCTCCTGGGTTATTGTCCTGATGATGGAGGCAGTATGACCTCTGAAACGTTGGTTAACATCGCCCAGACTACACAGCGCAACAACCCAGACGACAGAAATCTTCATACTCATCGCCCTGATGATGGAGGCAGTATGACCTCTGAAACGTTGGTTAACATCGCCCAGACTACACAGCGCAACAACCCAGACGACAGAAATCTTCATACTCATCGCCCTGATGATGGAGGCAGTATGACCTCTGAAACGTTGGTTAACATCGCCCAGACTACACAGCGCAACAACCCAGACGACAGAAATCTTCATACTCATCGCCCTGATGATGGAGGCAGTATGACCTCTGAAACGTTGGTTAACATCGCCCAGACTACACAGCGCAACAACCCAGACGACAGAAATCTTCATACTCATCGCCCTGATGATGGAGGCAGTATGACCTCTGAAACGTTGGTTAACATCGCCCAGACTACACAGCGCAACAACCCAGACGACAGAAATCTTCATACTCATCGCCCTGATGATGGAGGCAGTATGACCTCTGAAACGTTGGTTAACATCGCCCAGACTACACAGCGCAACAACCCAGACGACAGAAATCTTCATACTCATCGCCCTGATGATGGAGGCAGTATGACCTCTGAAACGTTGGTTAACATCGCCCAGACTACACAGCGCAACAACCCAGACGACAGAAATCTTCATACTCATCGCCCTGATGATGGAGGCAGTATGACCTCTGAAACGTTGGTTAACATCGCCCAGACTACACAGCGCAACAACCCAGACGACAGAAATCTTCATACTCATCGCCCTGATGATGGAGGCAGTATGACCTCTGAAACGTTGGTTAACA